AAAAAAGAAACCTGATTTTCTGTGTTTTCCCAGAAAAAAAGGGGGAGGAAGTTAACACAGCTACCCAAACTGCTTATTTTCCAAGAAGAAAGGACTATAGAAGAATCTTTTCCAAGTTTCTAAGTACAACCCTTCTCCCTTTTTCTTACTCACTGTGGGAATATGTGTCAGTTTCCTTGTAAATAGGATCCATAAAATAAGTGAATGAAACCCAACACGATGTCTATTGATGAAGGGACATTCTTTTTATTATTTTTGGAAGATTTATTTATTTTTACTGGAAAGGTAAATTTAGAGAGAGAAGGAGATACAGAAAGAAAGATAAGATCTTCCATCCACTGGTTTACTCCCCAAGTGACCACAATGGCCAGAGCTAAGCTGACCCAAAGCCAGCAGGAGCCAGGCGCTTTTTTCTAGGTTCTCCCATGTAGACACAGGGTCCCAAAGCTTTGAGCCATCCTCTACTGCTTTCCCATGCCACAAGCAGAGAACTGAATGGGAAGTGGACCATGTGGGACACAAAGCAGTGCCCATATGGGATCCCAGCGAGTGCAAAGTGAGGATTTAGCCACTGAGCCATCATGCCAGGCCCATGAAGGCACATTTTGGACTCATTCCAACTCAGCTCCTTGTGGCAATCTAGAAGTTTCTGAGTATTCTCTACAGTTCATACACATTGATGCTGAGACCTGTGTTTTAAAACTCCTGTCATTTTCTACCTTCCTTTCATCGCTGCCAACTCCTGAGAACATTCAGACATTTACCCAGGTGGTCTGCAAGGTCACCTGTAATGTTTATCCTTTCCCAGTTATGGTCAGGAAACAGCTCAACAGTCACCTGGGAAGTCTGGTTATGGGTTTAATCTCATGTGTGCTTTGGTAAGTGTCAGACAGAACCTTCCCATGGAGGCCATTCCCACTGGTACCTCTTCTCTTCAGTCCTTACTGCTTGTGGATTTCAGAATCTCTAATTTAGAGAATGATGCTTTTTTGCCTTTTCTCAGATAGAATATTCTTCCTGCTGGTCTATTTACCTAATAGCCAGTGGTCTTGGAGAAGAATGCATTGCCTAATTACTTTATTATTAGGTGGAATATGCAGCAATTTGGCTAATTAATATTTCATGTCACTTTTCACATTTTTAGGAGAGTGGTTCTCAGTTGTGCAGGTTTTATAGACAGAAACTTTGGAAGTAACCCGGTCAAAGATACTTCCTGCTATGTTAGACTGTGGACTTACTTTCATCATGTTAACTGATTTAATTCACATTAAGCCAAGTTTTTGTTGTTGTTGTTGTTGTTGCTCTTCATTTAGTATTCAAGGAGGACAGATTACTTCCCAATAGCTCTTCTAGCTTAGCAAGTGATCCTGGGAATATCAATTCTATGTAACAATTTATTTAGCAATAGGCATATGACACAAAACCCTGCCAAGTTTCCCTTCAGTGACAGCATATACATAAAGTCCAGCCTGGAGGATGAAAGGAAGCTTAGAGGCCCCCGCATCATGAGGCCCTCACAGTGTATATCACGTTGTGCTGATAAACCAAGGATGAACCTTGGAGTGGATTTGTTTTCACTGCAAACGACAGACAATGATGGTAATTCTTACCACTCTCTGACTCATTCAGAAAGAAACATTTGATTTGGAATATTTTCAAGTATGCAGAAAAGTTGGGAAAATAGCATGGAAATCTTCTCTATATTCTTCTTCCTGTCTCCCTAGATGGTAGTTCTTATGTGAGTGTGGCACATTTGTGAACTCACAGAATATTAGTGAAACGACAGCCTTCATTTGGATTTCATTTTTCTATGAGTATCATTTTTCTGTTTCAGGGTCCGATTTGGGCTATCAAAATTAGATGTATGAAGGTATGTCAGAAAGTTTATGGGAAATGTGGATTCTGAAAAAAAAATGGTGTACAGATTTCAAGATTTTCTTTTGTTCCAAGATATTGTTTAATTCTATCTTCATAAATATTTTTAGAATTTACTTTATTTGTATTTATTTCACACGTTTACTTTATTTGAAAGGTAAAGTAACAGAGAGAGGAAGTGACACAGAGGACTAAATGTTTCATTTGCCAATTCATTTCCTAAATGGCTGCAACCGTTAGGGCTGAGCCAGACCAAAGCCAGGAGCTCTGTAAGGGTCACCTAGCTAGGTGCCTGGAACTCAGCAGCTCCTTCTTTTGCTGCGTTCTCAGGTGCATGAGGCAGCTGGATTGGAAGAGGAGCAGCTGGGAGGTGCTTCAGTATGGGATGCCAACACTACAAGCAGTGGTAGATCCACTGTGACATATTGCCAGCCCTAAAAAAAATATACTCTCTTCTAGAAAAACTTTAACAGACATATACTTCTGGAGTTCTATACCTATACTTATGGGGTATTATATATTTTGTTGTGTGTGTATATTGTGTACATTGTGTAATATCCAATCCAATATTTTTATACTTTCAATCATTTAATATTCATGTTTAGTGAAAACATTTAAAATCCTTTCATTATGTTTAAGTAGAGAAATATATGGTACATTATAATCACTTACCATGCAGTGGGAACAGAGACCTTACTCCTACCTAGCCATCATCTAGAACTCTTCAGTTAATCCCTCTCATTCAACTTGCTTCCCTAGATGCTGGTGGTTAGACTCTAAATCAGACTGCACATGTGACACAAAGAAGTATTTCTTCCTTTTTTTTTTCTTTTAAATGATACAGTTTCATAGGCCCTGGAATATCCCCTCGTTCCTAAGATGCCTTCTTCCACTGGCTTCCCCTATATTATCCCAATAATATAGTTCTTCAGAAACAGTCATAAGTTATTTAAGTGCATTCTGACATTGTAGGTTTGGGCAGTGGCAGAGTCCAGCATCCTATTATCAAGATATATTTTAACAGTTTCATTGGGAGGTCATCTTTGTCAAATCATCCTTTTAAGAACACATGGCAGATTTTTTTCTGACTCTTTAGATATACTCTGATATCTTTGTTCATATTATTCATATCTTTGTTCATATTATTCATCATAGAGCATTGTGGGGATGGTTTTTATATCTCTCTCCCTACTGAGGTGAGCTTCTGTAGGTCAAGTCCTGTGTTCTTCTTCACCTTGTCATTGTCAGCATTTAGGACAGTGCATGGAACTGGGTGTCTGTTCAAATATTCAGTGAGTGACAAATGGAATGAATATTTGCCACTTATGGATCTAATGCAAGGAGATTTGACCTTTCCATCTGAAACCAGCCAATCTCTGTGAACTTAATTTTTACAAAATTCCATGTGCAACTATTTCATTAGTTCAACTAAGGAGATAAAACTCAACTGAAGAAGAAATAGTCTTTAAGTATTGGGTATGGGTCACAATTGTTTGATCATGCTGGATATAATCAAAATTGTGAGTTGGTAAGTAAATAAAGATGTTCAGGATTATAAGTTTGTTGCAATATATTATAAAAAATAATGTGTGATTTATTTCAACTGTAGTATAGGGACACAAATGTCTTTAATTTTGAGGATTATCAGTAAGGCTAAACACAACCTGTGTTGTTTCTGGATGCGAGCTAATCTTTTGGGAAATGAGCTTGAGTTAGTCTGTTTGGCTCCTGTTGTGAAATTTGTTATTAGTAATTTGAACTACAGGCTACAAAAATAAATGCCTACCCAAACCAGACAAGTCGTAGAAATGAGCAAAGTTGATGAGCTTAAGAAATGTGAAGAATTTTTGTTAACTGAATTTTGCCTCATCCATCTCAAAGTTGCAGTTCTTACTCTGATTCAGCACATGACTGACGTGCAGAAACTTAATTTTGCCATAACTTCTAGTTTTATTTTTTTTCTAAGGAGTCATTTATTTATTTGAAAGTCACAGTAATAGGAAAGAGGAGAGAGAGGCAGGGGGAGAGAAAAAGTCAGAGATCCTCTAATCACTGATTCACTCCCCAGTTGACTGCTGAAGGCCAGGGGTGGGCCAGGTCAACGACAGGAACCAAAAACTCCACCAGGGCCTTCCACGTGGCTGTAGGGGCCCAAGCACTTGGACCATCCACCACTCATTGTCAGGAGCATTAACAGGGAGCTGGATTGGAAAGAGAGCATCCAGAGCCAGCATTCTTGAGATTCTAGCATTACAGGCAGTGGCTTTAGCTTTTGCACCACCACACTTGCCCTATCTTCACTTTCTTTCTCTTCTCTTTATGCGAAGCTAAGTACCTTAATTTTTATTCAAACTATATATTTTTAGAAAAAAATTAATACCCTGTGTGGGTATATCCTGTCCAGCAGAAATGGATTAGATTGGCTTTAGATGATTCTTCCCAACTGAGAGCAACCAAAGCAGCTGAAGTAAATATTTATAAAAATCTGAAATGATTGCAGAACCAAACAAAATTATGAAGAATTGTGGAGTCAATATCTGGGTGAATGGCAAGTCGAGAGTGGATGTCTCAGTTTGTTTCTGTTGCTATAACAAAATGTTTGATATGGGTGATGCATAGAGAATAAAGACTTATTTTGGCACATGGTTCTCAGAGGGTGGGAAACCCAAGAACCATGGCCCCACCATCTGTTTTGCTTCCACTGAAGGCTCCATGTACTGACAAGGTCAATCTCACTTTATAATGATGTCGTTTTCCAGCAATTAATCCAGCTTGCAAAGAATTGCATTGATTCCTTTGTATAATTTAATCCTCCCTTAAAGTCCTCACTGCCTCTCAACATTTGGGATCAAATGAGAATATCAAGGGTGATGTTTAACCTATCAGTTAAGCTGCCTGTATCCCACATCACAGCATCAGGGCCTAACTCTTGACTCCATCTTACTGCTAATTCAGACTGTAAGAGGCAGAGCTGATGGCCCAACTGGACCGATGCAGGAGACGTAGACTGTGTTCCAATCCCAGCCTTGGGGGACATTGGTGGAGGTTATTGGCAGACAGCTTCCCTCTTTCCCTCCCCCTCCCCTTCTCCTCTTTTTCCTCTGTCAACAAAATGAATCAATAAAAGTAAAAAGCCTATGTTTTAGAGGGGCCAAATCATATTGAAGCCATCCCAGAGGTAAAGTTGCTATCTGGGTTTACTGAAGGTATTGCTGGTTCTGAAAACTCCAGATCAAAGAATGAAAAGAACTCTGAAGGCTTTGGATATTCAGGGAACTGGGAAACCAAAAGTTGAAGGTCAGTGTTTGACAAGGAATGAGGATCCTGGTAAATAACTCTGTCAGTTTAGACTGCCTATACCGAGGCAAGGGTTTTACTTAAGGAAAATGAACTACTCTTATAGTAGCATATGAAGTCTGGCTTGCGACGATCTGCAATTCCTGAAAGGATGAAAGTCTTCTAGCCTAGCTGCTGCCAAAAGCACATGTACCATTTGTGCAGGAGAATATAGTATCACAGAGTCTCTTGGCAATTTTCACACACGGTGCATGGTGATAAAAAAAAAATTACCAGAAACGGTTGAGTGGGGAGTGTTGTGGCACAGCACATAAAACAGCTACTTGGGACTCTAGCATTCCTTATCAGAGTGTTGGTTCGAGTCCTGGCTACCCCACTTTTGATCTGGCTCCCTGCCAATGCACCTGGGAAGTCTGCAGATGATAGGGCAAGCACTCAAGTCTGTGGCACCCAGGCGGAAAATCCAGATGGAATTCTTGGGTCCTGGCTTCAGATCGGCCCAGCCTTGGCTCTTGTGGGCATTTGGGAAGTGATGCAGGGAATGGAAGGTCTGTTTGTGTTGTGTATCTCCCTTTCCCGCGCCCCCCTCTCTCTGTCAACTTGCTATTCAAATAAATAAATTTGAAATAAAAAGGAAAGCATCAGGCATGCAAGCAGATGGAATGTGATGAGAAAGAAAAAGAAAAAGAGGTCTACAATGAAATCCAGATAATGGGATTTTCAACCACTACTTACACTTTAAGAAGTTAAATAACAAGGTTACTGTAGGAAACTAAGAGACTTATAGTAACGAAGCAAAGGAAACTTTCAGAATTAAAACACTGAATGAATCATAAAAAATACTATAGATACAGCATAATGATACCAGTGCCATAAAATTGGGGATTGTCCTGTTTTATAGTATAGCATAAAGGATTTGGCAGAAATAATGAAACCAACTTATATGGACTACAAAAGATAACAAAGATTACAGACGTGAAAAAAAATGTTGAGCCAGGTGGAGTTGAGGGAGATTCAATCAGTTTCAATAACACAATAAACCTTTGGCAGCTCTTGTACATGTGAATTCACCAACTAAAACCACCACCCCAAAATCATGCCCGAAACATCTTTACAGGGAAATATGCAGAGGCAGGAGAGTAGACGTGATCATTTTTAATGGGATCATACAAATTGAGTCTTGACTCCAGGATCTGCTTCTCATTGGATAGGTGACCTTGAGCAAGTCCCTAGACTCTGCTCTTTTTAAGCTTCTCATTTCTAAAGTATGGATAGTAACTGATGTATTAAAGTTGTTAGGAAAACTCTCCAATGCAGATCCAATCACCAGGCACACCCTTAGAGCAGGTGTGATGAGTCACTCCCAGGACGACTAGCTCACAGAGCTTTCTCATCCAGCGGTATTTTCTCCCTGTGCCTTTAGAGGTCTTTCTCTCCTATCTTCTCCAGCTACATCCATTTCTTTGTTCTCTTTCCTTTTGTTTTTTAAATTTTAAGAATGAAACAGAGAATGTCATCAATTGCCATTATCTAGAGGTGAATCTAGCTTTATGCATCTCAGGGGATTTGCACCGGACCTTGGAGTGGCCTTTTTGCTCTCCTCACAGTATGTCAAGGAGAAAGTACCAGTATAAGTTGTCCAGTCAAGCTCAATACCTAATAAGGGTTTATTTCTTTGACAAGGAAGAAGCATGATAGCTTTGTAGTGCTGTGATTAGCCACTGTCCCCATGGTAAGCAGAGTCCTGAGCCAGAAGCAGAACCTACAACGGTGCAGTGAATGACAATCTGCCTTTTGAATTCATTATTTGGACATCTATTTTTCCTTTTTTAGCAATCTTTTGTCAACATTTAGTTTTAAGTGCAAAGTTCTGCTATCCCTTACCATGTAAAAAATTCATGAGACATGCAACGTGGAAAAATAGGAAGTCTTTAATGCAAGTTAATTTGAAATAGGCCTCATGGGTGAAATGCTTTTTAATAATTATTTTTTGTCAAATGATTAGACAAAATGCATATTAGAGAATAATTTTAGAAAAATATATACACACTTTCAATTTTCATTGTATGTACTTCAAATAGTAACACTTAAGAGAGTTTTAATATGTTTGTGCTCTTTTATATGAAGAAGCAGCTGCACCTGTATGCTTTACTGAAAGATCTTTAGATATTATGCACTTGATTTCAGTGCATTTGCAGCCTTGATTTTTTACATCTCATTTTTACAAGTATGAGTTTCCTTCAGATTAAAAAATCTGAACAAAGGATAATGTTCTTGAAGAGTAGAGTCTTGTGTTATTTTCTGCCATGAGGTATTCATTTGTCTTAACAGCATGCTTCCTAAAAAAATCACAGAAAACTCTGTTGAAATAGACACCCCTATAAAATATTTTATCAACTTAGGTAAATAAAACACATTCTACAGTTTTATGTCTCATGAGAAGAAATACATTCTCTTTTACTGCCTATTGCTTCTTCCTTATTGGAGATAGAATTTTAACCCACTCTCTAGGGATTGTCTAGTTATTAAAGGCAGGCACTCCACTGTGGATCAGGAGGACGTCACGTGAGTGAAGTCTTGCATCAAGGAGTTATTGGGTTCATGGGCCCTGGATACCTTGCAAGATTCTCAGAGGAGACAACTTGAGAGCTTAGTTTGCTTAAATTTTTCTTCTCCTTTTAAAGTTATTTGTACCTTTATCATTTTAAAATCATTTTGTTTTCTATCATTCATTTTTACTTATTTGAAAGAGACAGACAGACAGCTCCCACCCATTGGTTGATTCCCAAAATGTCTTTTATAGTTAAGGCTACCTGGGCCAGGCTGAAGCCAAGAGCCCAGAGTTCAGTCTGGGTTTCCCATGTGGTTGGCAAGAACTCAAGTACTTGGACCATCACCTTCAGGATCCCAGGGTACACATTAGTAAGAAGCTAGAATTGGAAAAGGAGAGGAAATTCAAACCAAGGCATTCCAATATGGGATGCAAGGGTCCCAATGTCTTAATTAAAGACACCAGATGCCCATCCCTATCTTCAGATGCACAGAAATATTTGAAAGATAATGCAGAGAGATTCCACATACTCCACACTATTTCCCCCATTATTAATGTATCACCTGAGTAGGGTGGATATATAATTGAATAAATACGGACATGCTATTAGATGTGTTATTAATAACTGATATGTCTCTTTGACCTGATTTCCATCATGTCTCCCTAATGCGCATCTGCTTTTATGGGTTCCCAGCCAGGCACCAAGTTACCTAATCTCCTTAGAGAACCCGTGGCTGTTATAAGGAGTAATTTATTTTCACTTGAAACAGCGAATCTGATCATAGGCTGAAAGTCATGCCATGTGGCTCTTTGTCCAGTTGATGCAGAATTCCCAATTGGTTATGGAGCCCTTTAGTGAGGGTGGTGGAAGGTTTATCTAATGAGATGCCAAAAGAGCCCCTGTTGGTAGTTGGCCTCCAAGCACACTTGCCTAGCACCTCCAAGCAGCTGTTGACTTTTCACACCATTGTCCTGTCTGTAGGCCTCGATGTTTGACCTTTCCAAACCTTTTCCAGTCTACCTCAGTTACTGACTGCTGCTTCCAGATATTTCTTTATATAAAAAGTCTTTACAGTTTCTTTTACCTAGTAGTGGAGTCCAAAGTTTTATCAAACAGAACTCTTGTCCTTCTTACTCAAGGTCAGAGAGTCTCCATCTTCAAAAAACTTAGATATTTCATGTTCTTGCAAAACCCTCAATAATTCCAAACATAGCAAAGACGAGAAAATTTTGTTGCTATGTCAAAATAGATTCAATATTCATATTCTGCCAGACACAGTCACAATAACAGAGTTTGTATTGTTAACAGAGATGTGGACAAGATGGAAGAGGAGCTCTGAGGAAGAAGTGCACCTGTTGCCTTGGCAATGGAAGAGAGAAAAAAAGAGGGATCGCCAGAGACTGTAAGTCTTCTTCATGTGGATCAGAACTGAATATTCAGAGTGTGCGGTGAGCATCCCAAGGAGCTGTGATGGTTTGAGTAAAGATGCAGGGATGGGAAATCGACACTCTGTTCCAGGAACTGCTGGGAAACTTGAAGCCATGCAGAGTAAAGCGACTCTTTGGCAGTGGTGTGGCATGTGACTGGGAAGGAAAGAGGGAACCTTCCAGATTAGAAAATGCCTTTTATGTCACTGTAAGAATTCTCTTGGGTGGTGCAAAGTTAGGTCACCTTGCAATGAGGTTGGATATCTAGATCTAAAAGGGTTTGCACGAGAAAGTTAGAAGTTCATATACTCAGGAAATGAAATCTACCATTCAAAGTGTGGTCATGGTCAAGGGCAGAAAAAGACCCCATTAAAATTTTGCCTTAAAACAAATGAGAAAGTTCTGAGCATGCTGAGCATGTAGATTGACTAGGAGCGGGCACTGCAAGATTCATGACTGGGTTGTCCAAGACGTTGAAATGTTGGCTGCCTAGACATGCTTCAGTCAGAGACAAGGCCAAACGGCTATTTGCCCTCTAGTGGCAACTACACAGCATTTTCTATTTTTGCTAGAAACAGGACTAGACTGCACAACCAGATAAGACCATGTCCGGAAGCTGGTGGCCATTATACTTCAAGAAGCTATTTAAATTAGTATCTAGATTCCATGGAGAAGCATGATAGGAGTTAGTTAAAATTGGAGAGAGTAATGGTATTGACAAAACTCTAACACACACACAAGGCTGGATCACTTAACACAATTTTTCTCTATTATGGCTAAAAGAATATGACAAGAGTGTAAACCAGCCATATTTTTGGCTAAGATTTTCAGCCGTGGTGATTTATTCTTAAGTTAACAACGTAGAAGATATCTGCAGATGGAGAGATCAAGTTCTCTGACATTCAGGCATACATTTTAGTCTACCGTCTCTATCCGCTTCGATTTTATCATTGCCGTATAGAGTACTTTGGCCACCACACAGCAATGAGAGTGTCTAGTTCATTTCTTTGTTTTTCTCTTTCACCCCCTGCATCAGTGGTTTATACCCTATCAGAGTTCATAGCCTATCAAAGGTATCAATTTTCAATCTTTCAATTGTATAGTCTTCTGAGAAGTCATGCTTTCTCTTGCCTTAGCTAACAGCATTTCGCAGAAGCATCTCATTATTTATGGATAAGGGTAAGTCACTAGAATAAGGTAACATTACCGCTGCTCTGCTGTTGCCTCTACTCACATGAATAGATCCATAATTGATGCAATGGCCTAACTAGCGTTGCACTTAAGAGCAAATCTAAGGTCATACCTCTGGAAGAACAAATTGTGTCTTTATGTTTTGTTAGATATTAAGTCAAAGCTTATCTGTCAAGAGGTGCACTTGGAGCCTGGGTGGGGGGAGACAATAATGTGTGGGAAAGAGAAAAGCAAGCAAACCAAGAGGAACACAACTGGCCAGGCTTGCTGCTAGGGAAAAAAAAGGTTTTGGTGTGTTCTTTCTGAGTCTCTCTTGTTGGGGTAGGTTCATGATTGGACACAGTGTCAGCCTGCTCCTGCATTCATAGGTCCTCAGAGAAACCCAGAGTGTTTGAGAAAGCATGGTACGAAACTGATTTAGGAAATTCTAGAGTGATGAACATCCAACAGTCAAGTGAAGGTTTTCCTGGAATGTTTCGGTCCAGGTTTCCTTCTTTTGGAGGTGAATTTGATCTCAGGGCATTCTCTCAGCAGAGTGGGTGATTACTGATGGGGATGCGGAGTGATGGACATTGAAAGACATTCATCTTTTGTGGCTAACAGAGGATAAAAAGTAGGTTGCAAAATATAAGTGTAGTGTGTAATGTCATTTTTATAAAAGCAAAACCTATCTTTTGATATATATATATATATGTACATATATGTATATTTACATGTAGAAAATCATTTGGATTTGCTCTGCCACCATGGATTGATTTAGCTTGTTGGGATTGTGGGTCTTAGTTTCTCTTCCTCCATCATAATTAACTGCTTGCAGTTCTATATATTTAGCCTTTTTTTAAAAAAAAATAAAGGATATAAATGTTTTCTTAAGACAGAAAAGGATACTACATTTTAGGTAGGTATTCCCTTATAAATATTATGTGATCATTTGGGGTTTAGTTATTTCATTGGGTTTTATTGTTCCAAGTACTACAGGAGGTATACAAAACATAAAGATGAACACTAATCTGATCTTAGTGCATCACTGACTTTTTCTATGAAAATGTGAACAAAGAAAAAAGAATTTATACAGGATTGATGTACCCCATGGCTTTTAAAGCCTCTACATGTTTTTAAGAGGAAATAAGGTTTAAGTAGGAATTAAAAGCACACAGAAAACTTACGTGAAATATTCACAATAGACAGGAACTGTTAAAAATGCTTACCACAGCACCTAGAACAAGGTAAAAGTGCAATGAATCTAAGTCACTGTGAATGTATTGATTGATTACACATCAATGGGAGAAAGCAAACTTCTTCAAACTGGGACAAGAAAAATGAATAGTCCCTACATGCAATTGCTAATAAACATTAAACTATCTAATGGTCATGGGAATGAATGCAAAGTAATAGATATACACAGGTTTACACATGAAATGAACAAACTATGAAAAAATATTTTCAGAAATGGATACTTTTACAGCACTTAAGAAAATGAATACTAATTTTCCAGCTGGTAATCTGTCATCATCAAAAAGTTAAACGTATTTATATCAATCAATTCAGAAAGTTCATGGCTAGGACAATGTCTTAAGAAAACAATCATGAATGTTAACATGCATTCTTCAAAAGATCCAGCAATTTCAATTGTGGAAACTCCATGTATGCATGGATAAAATGGCACAGATATCAAGTTATCTATGCAGTTCTCCAATACAAGATTGGAAACAACCCAAATTACCATCAGTAGCAGTCATATAAATAAATTATGGTACTTCTTTACAATGGAGCACTACGGACAAGGCAGTACTAACTGACAGTGAAGTAGTAACAAAATGAGAACAGAATGTGTTCATATAGAAAGACACCCTTCCCCTATTTTTAAATGAAAAAAAATATAGAAAAACTCAGAATCTATTTGTATTTACTTGTATACCCATACAAATATCCTGAAAAGGCACTCAAGAAATTAATGATGGTGACTTCTAGGGAATGTGAGCTGTAGGATGGGAATGGGAGGGAGAAGAGTTTGTTTGGTTTTTGAATCATGTGAACTTACTAATTTTTAAAACAAAAAATAATATTTTTTAAAAAATGATTATGTATTTTAAAAATACATAAATGAAAAAATTGAAATTTAAGGAACAGTCACAAAACACAACTGCAAGGTAGTCTGAGGAAGCCAAGCATCTTTATTTTAAGATTTATTTATATATTTATCAGAAAGGCAAAGGTAAAGAGAGAGAAAGAGAGAGACAAAGAAACACATCTTCCATTCGTTGATTCACTACTCAAGTGAATGCAATAGCCAAAGCTGGGCTGATCTCAAGCCAGGAGCCAGGAGTTTCTTCCAGGGATCATCCTCTGCTGCTTTCCTAGGCACATTGGCAGGGAGCTGGATGGGAAGAGGAGCATTCTGGACTGATAGAGTGCCACAGGCTGCAGCTTAACAAACCATGCCAAAGCAATAGCCCCCAGGCACATATCATTGAAATGTCTAGATTGAATCACATAATACCCAGTTTCCTGTGTTTATTTCTTCCACTTTGAAAACACACAAAAATGTTCTTTCTTTAGGTACTCTTGTATATAATAACATAATTGGCGTTCAATTACTTTTAGCAGAATAAAGTAAGATTTGAAAGTTGAGCTTGTCGTTAAGGGAAAAGTCACAAGTTCTTCTCACTCTGTATGTCTATACTTTGTTTCCACTGAGTATTTTTGAGAGAAAACTCATGAAAGTTCCAAGTCAATTCTGGTCCAAGTATTTCTTTCAATCAGTTCTCATCCAAAAGAGGCTGTGAAGCAAGATTATTAAGGAAAAGACAAAATGCAACGAAATAACTTCCACGTGTCACAGTGTGACACTGCAGTGTCCTACAGACTCCTAAGGCAGGTGTTTGGTTCTATCGGAGTACTCACCCATCACCTGTCCTTGCAACGAGAGGCCACAAGCAGGCTCACAACCAAGGGACAACAGTTCAAGAGGGAGAGGATGCCCTGGGCTCAGAGATGTGCTCTTGGCCATCAGAAATCGCCGTGAAACAGACCAAGTGTTAGTAATTAGTGCTTGTGTAAGAGTGGGAGCTGGTGACCACCTGCCCTTAGTGATTCTCACCCAGGGAACTTGGTTAAAAAGGCCTTGGCCAGGACTGCACCCCCAGACTGTGATGAAATTCTCGTGAAATAGAGCTCAGGACTTTTACTTATAAAGTAACGATGATGTGAAATCAGCATTTCTATTGGCCTGTCAGAAGGCTGGAGCATTTTTCCCCCCATTCTGTGACAGAACAAGATGCAGTAAGCAGCTCCTTCCGCATTGTAATTCAAACATACATAGATGTTAATTTAGGTTAAACCTTTCTACTTATTTTTTTTCTTCTGTCTCAGACTGTACCCAAAGCTTCGTGCTTGAACTATTAATACGGTTTCCTTATAGGTCTGGCTCTTATCTTGCTTTCATTCTTCTGTCCTATTTTCACCTTGTACAACAAGGACAAATGATTTTTTTCTCCTATCAGGGGTTCTGCTGTTTATTTATAAGATACGTGCAAACCGAGTTCCCCAGCCAAGGCTTCCACTCTGTACTCAGCCGTCATCCTGTGAAATCCCGCAGCTGCTCAACTCTATTTTTCCTGCCCCAAATCAAGCAGAGGCCGATAACCTCTAAGGCTGTCTTCTTAAAAAGTCTGGCTTCCCTGGTTCATGGTCCTACTACTAGCCGTAAATACGCACTCACACGAGCTCTCTTTTCTAAAATGTTTCTTAATTGAAGCTTAAAAAAAAAAAATCTTAGACTTGGCTCTTTGTCCTTCCCATCCAGGGCAGCTTCCTGGCTGTTTAGCTTCCTGGGAACTTTGGGCTCAGACTCCTGCTGGGGCATCCCGAGGCTCTCAGCACATCCTTACCTTCAGCTCTCCTGGGTAGAGCCCCTTTTGCAGGGGGAGGGCCAGTCCAACCAGAAAGGCTTGGGTGCTGGCTGCCGGGAACCCCGCCCTCTATCAGAGTCTGTATTTGATTCAGATGTAGATGACTTGAATTCATGGCACGCTCCAAAACTGGGCCTAGAGCTGCTTATTAGCATTTTTGTGTGTGTCTGTGTTTAGTTCATTTCTCACTTGCTTATCTTTAAAGATATTTTTTTTAGGTCAGGGGATCTTACCTAACTTGAAGAAATTAAAGACTCAAGGGAAACTTGTAGTAAATACTGTTCGCATGGCTGCTTTGTTGAAAAAAGGATGGGCTGTGTACCAAATACAAGTGCAGGAGCAGTAAACCCGAAGTGTGTTCTTAGTGGTTGAGATATAAGCATCCTGGGCCGGGCAGCGCTCTAGGGTCTTGGGGAAGCAGCCAGGCACACATCCCAGATCCAGGAGGCCCCGAAGGGGAAGGCACTAGGGCGCCAAGGCCAGGCTTCACCACTATCACGCTCGCCCCCCTTCCAGTTCCACTCAGTGCACACCGTCTTGGCCTCCACAACCACCGCGCAGACCTCCGAAGGAGATGTTTGGGACTTCAAGGGCAAGTTCTGACTCTACTCAAGCCTGTCCCCAAGGACTGTTTGCTCATGGTTTGTAGATGGCCTCTGGATGCTGTCCAGCCCTCACCGCGCCTGTAAGGCCGCTCAGGGCCGAGGATGCTAGAAACATCCCAACGCCATCAGCAGACTCCTGGAGGATGGGGGGGGGGGGCAACCTGTGCTAGGCACAAGTCCATGTTCTGGTATTGTCCTGCGCTAAGCCAGAGGCGAGGGGATGGCCAAGGGAAAGCCAAGCGACAGGGGGCTCAGGGTCGCCTGAGGGGGCTCGGGGTCGTCTGACGGGGCTCGGGGTCGCCTGAGGGGTTTCGGGGTCGCCTGAGGGGCTCGGGGTCGCCAGAGTCAGGGTCGCCAGAGGGGGCTCGGGGTCGCCTGACGGGGCTCGGGGTCGCCAGCGGGGGCTCGGGGTCGCGCGCGCGTGCCCGCGGGCCCCAGGCCGGAAGCGAGGATTCCGCTTCCTCCCCCCGCGGCGCGCGGCCGCAGCCGAGCGCAGGAGCGCGCGTCCCCGGCGGGCGGGGCGTGGCCTCGCGGCTCCCGGCGCATTCCGTCCCCCGCCTCCTCCCGCGCGCCCGCTCCCTCCCCCGACAGCTGATTCATTGGCTCGGCCGCCCAGACTGCCTGGCGCCGGCCGCGTGACGTCACCCATTCACCCAGCCCGCCGCCCCCCTCCGCTGGCGCCGGCCGGGCGGTCGCCATGGTAACGCCGACGCCAGCCCGCACAATGACTTCCAGCTGGAGCGGCTGGGCCAGCCCGCGCTCGTTGGCTCGCGCAGGGCTGTGGAGCGCGGGGACGGCTTTTTTTTTTTCTTTTTGCTTGCTTTCTCTCTTTCTGGCTCTTGTCTTGCTGTTTTTTTTTTTTCCAGGCTCCTGCGGGTTTCCCCTTTCGGGAAATGCGTTCGCTGTAGTTTTCTAGGGCTCCGGTCCCACGGGTCTGCGGCGTCCATGCAGGCTTGCACGCCCCGGTCGCTGTCCCCTTGGGCCAGGCGCAGCCCTGCTAGGCGCGGCGGACTAGCTGGCCTTGGGTTTAAGCCTTTGCTGCGCTCATACCTGCAGGTTGTGCTCCTAGGGAAACTCTTCGTTGCGAACGCGGTGATCCTCAACTGTTCTTCTTACAGCCGCATATCAACTTTGAAAGCACTGTCGCCGGTTAACAGTACTTACTTTGCTTTTCAGTAGAACTTGACAGTGGCACGAGCTTGGGAGCTGGGATTTTAACGCTTCTCTGTGGAGACATGTTAGCAGAATACAAACGTGCAAGGCAGTGCGAGTTAGCGTGGAGCGTGTCTGAGCGTCGTAACTCGAGCGCTCAGACACACAGATCGGTGACACTCCCCCAGAGCCTTTGAGTCCTAAGGTGTGCAGGACAGGAGATCGTGATGTTGTGTTTTCACTTTTTGTGCCCCCGTGTGTGCCGGATTTCTTGATTTCCAGCTTCAGAAATGGCTCTGAGTTTTTGCGGCTTCGCGGCTGAGAAATAAACGAAAGCCATGCTGTAAACGAACGTAGGCTGCTTTTTGGTAGAACTATGAACTCAGCGGACACAACCCCCCGGCTCAGCTCACGCAGAGATACTTGGCGTTAAAGCCCTCTGGCGCCGTTGCGCTGTCGGTTCAGATTCCAGCGCAGGCTTCTTTGTTATTATTATTATTTAAAATTCTGATTTGGTCGCATCCTCAAACACATTTACAACCTTTGAAGGTAAGGAAGGACTCTTCCTGAACCTTTATCCTTGTCTCCCTGAAGAAACCCGACGGTGGGTTTGGTTGATTGTGCTGAAGAATGTTTAGAAACCACACGAGGCGTTTAACCCATCAAATCATGATTTGTTGGCTCGAAGCAGCCTTCCCATATGTCTTCCACACACTTCCCAACCGCCTCAGCCCAAAGAGATGACAAGGTAGTCGTGGGTGATCAGGAATAAAAGCAATTCATGCCTTGGAATTGGCAGTCAAGACAGGAATATTTGCTCTTCTCATGTTTTCCAGGGGTCACTGTGGGTGATAACTCTTTGCTAACAAATAAAAACACACTGATTTTGCTGCCCATCTCCAATGAGAATTCGGTGAGACAAATTTTCTTCTCAAATTATGCATATTTAAGTGTGATTGGAGATGGTAACATTGACAATAAACACGTTGACTCCAAAGCACAGTCTCTCCGGCTGGCATTGATGTCCATGACACAGTGAATGGATGATTTCCCCCATCCACGTTTATACGCATTCGCTTAAATGTCAGGTTTCCACATGGGGGAGGGGGGAAGCCCTCCAGTGATCAGAAATCAATTTGTATATTTAGTTTTCTGCTGTCACCAGACTACACAGGGGTGCTGCCAGCTTACAGTTTGAATAATGGCAAGGCTCCCAGTGGTTCCCAACCCTAAGTTAGTTATCCCATGCACTTGTCAAAATACAGTTGCCTAATATCCTCTTCTAGAAACTTCCATTGCCATGGTTCAGGGTATAGACTGATTGCCAACTTTTGTTGTTGTTGTAACTTTTTAATTTTGAATGATAGATTCACAGGAAATTGCAAAGACTTTTCTGTTGAAAGAAACTGGTGCTTCTCGTCCCCTTTTCAGCTTCTGACACAAAAATAAAGCCAAGAAAGTGGCATTGACATAAATGGCGCCAGTACTACTGTGCCGTCTCTCTACAGTTACTGTAAGGAAATACAGAGCTACTGCAGAACCATGCACATCTTATGCAGTGTGGTCACTCATCTCCCTGCACACACCGTCCCTCAGGCCCGTCCTCTGCTCATCTCTTCTCTAACCTCTGTAATTTTGTCCTTTGGTCAATGTTGTATACATCGATTCTTACACTGCGTCATATTCTGGTATTCACACAGCCCTCCTGAGGTCTGTTCAGGTTGTGAGTGAAGTAGCAGTTCATTTCTTTTTATGGTTGAATGGTGGCTCTTCCAAGGTCTGAGAGTGCCAGGGATGAACCGATCACGTGTTGCAGAATATTTTAGTTGTCCTGGCAGCCTCGTTTAATTCTTTTTCTGTACTGATAAAGTTGTAAAAGCATGTGCAGGTGTTTATGTGGACACAGATGTCTCTGGAAGAAAAGTTCACAGTTGTAATCTCTGGATCATATGATAAAGATACGGTTAATGTTTTAAGAAACTGACATTTTCAGAAGTGTTGTGGCATCTTACTTTCCTACCAGCAATGTAAAAAAAAAAAAAGTTCCAGTTTTTCCACATCCTTGCCTGCATTTGGTACTGGAATTCTGGGTATATGTAATGCTATCTCACTATGTATTTTCTTGGGTTTTTTAAATAACTAATGGTGTTGAACTCCATTGTATGTCTGTTGGCCCTTCATGGGATCCCAGGACATTCAAGGCAAGAAATTTTGCGGCTAGGCCACTGCGCCAGGCCCAGATTGTATCTCTTAAGAATCATTCTTTTAGTATTGTGTGTAAGAGTTCTTCACCATGACATGTGTTCTAGAAATTTTCTGTTTTATTCTTTTAAGATGTTTTATAATGTACACTAAAATCTATGTTGTGAATTAATTTGTATATGAGTTGTCGGATTTGGGTCAATGTTCCTTTTTTTTTTTTTTCTGCTGGTAAATATCTAGTTCATTGAAAAAAACCCTATCATTTCTCTACTGAAGTGGTTTTCCATCTTTGTTAAAACTCAGTTGTTCCCAGAGTTCAGGTGAGTCTGCTCAGCGGTGTGGGTTTCTGAATCTCTCAGCCAGGTGGCTGGTGCTGGGTGAACCTGTGTTCAGCCAGGCTTCCCACTGGGGATCCTAGTTCCCCGTCCACTGCTGCCAAGCTGTGGGTGAATCATGAGCTTGTCTAAGCTCCAAGGTCTGAGAATTTCCTCCATCCACAGTGATCATGCTGTGTACGGATCTTGGATAGCTCTGGGCATGCTCAGAATCATGGTTCCACCCACAACCACCACGTTGGTGGGCAGAATCCAGGTGAACATACTCAGAGGTATGGGTGTCTGAATCTCCCAGCCACATGGCAATAGCTGGGAGAACCCATGCTGAGCCAGGCTTCCTGCTGGGAATCTTAGCTCCCCCTCAACCACTGCTAAGCGGTGGGCAAATCCTGAGCTGTGGGCAACCAGAGCACCAACAGTGCCAAGCTTCACCCACTGGCCACCTGGTGGCGAGCTCTGGGGTCTTGGGAATCTGGAATTATTGCCTAGGGACATCTGTGGATAGGGCCACAGTACATATAGGCGAGAAATGAATTCTGAGGGACACTCAATGACAGGGCCACTGTACTTGTGGTTAAGCAAGGGGACTGAGACATGGTGATTTGGAGGGAAGAGACTGGAAGAGCTGTATGGGTCAGACTGGTACACCAGCCCACATGTGAATCTGGAGTTAGGCTTGTCAGCATGGGACATTGCTGACCACCACATGCTACTCAATGTAAAAGCTAAGGCTGGGGGCCTGTCTAGCAGGAGTAGATCCTGAACCTAACTGAATATCGAAACAAGTGATGGGTAACATTAGCAAGGGCCATGACACTAATCAGCATGCAAGAGAACCAGGTCCGGGGGTATATTCTGTGGGGGATATGTGGACCAAACCCGTGGAAATGCAAGTCCTGCTAGTTAGCTCAAAGGTTAGGGTGGTGATGGGCTGAGACAGGTGTGACATGGAACCTGCCAACGTTCACAGGTACAGGGACCAAGAATAGTCTGGACAGGTACCAGTATGTGCATCCTTAAACAGAGTGTGGGGTGAACTGGGCCGCAATTTTCACCAGCTCATACTAGACCGACAAGGAGGGGTAGATTATGCTTGGCAAGGCCTAGCAACCACTGGCATGCATGAGATCTGGGTCTGGGAGTAGCCCAAGTGGGGGAACTTGGGAAACTCCCCTAGGGGGTCATAGCTCCCACTGGTGAGCATATGGTCCAGGTCTGTGTATTCGGCAGGTTGGGCAAAGTAGCTCCATCTGTTGGCTAATGTGTGGGTTGGTTTTGGAAGGGGGCAGACCAGGCAGGGCTGAGCAAACCATAGCCTATTGATAAGTGCAGAAACCAGACTGGAGCTTGGGTCATGCTAGGCTAGGCTATCACACCTGTTGGTTTGCATGAGCCATAGATGGGAGTAGACTGAGCAGGGCCAGGTTCCAGTACCCACCAGTAAGAGTTGGGACTGGGGACAGCCCAGGGAAGGCCAGGCTACAGCATCCAAGGCAAAGGCCAGGACAGGTGAGGAGCTATGCTAAGTTGGGTCAGAGCCACCACTGGCATGTGTGAGATCTGTGGCTGGGAACAGGCCTGGTTGGGGAGCAAGGAGGATGCCCTGGCTGGGTTGTAGTTCCCGCTGGTGAGTGTGCAGGCCAGAGTGGGGCTGCTGTCTAGTCTGGGCATGCAGTGTTCCTTGGCACAAGTATGGGCTGGTTTTGGGGTGTGCCAGACTGGACTAGACTGTAGCACCCACTGGTGCTCACGAGAACTGGGGTAAGTATAGGACTTGCTAGGCTAGATCTCTGTGCCTGCTGAGACCTGTGTGAGCTATGTCTGGGTGTGGACCAGGCTTGGCTGGGTTATAGCATCCAATAGTAAAAATTGGAATGGGTGAAGGCCAGTCAGGAAAGGTCATTGTTCCTGCTAGGACAGAAGGTGGACTAAGTAGGACTGGCTCATGGACCTACCAGTGTGTGTGAGATCTAGCATTGGGACAGGTTCTGATGAGGAGCTTGGGCAACTCCTCTGTCGGGACACAGTCCCTGCAGGTGAGTGCAAGAACCATGATAGGGAGCAGCCCAGACAAGGCCAGGGAATGGTACCTAGCGGCAAACATTTGGCTCAGATCAGGGGTGAACCAGGTTGGGCTAGTTCATATTACCTGCTGGCGAATCCGAGCACTAGAATGGAGTGTGGGTTGGGCCGTGTTGGGTCACAACACAAGACAGTTCACATGAGAGCCAGGACTGGGTGCTGGGTAGGCTGGGCTAGGCTGTAGTCCCCACCAGCACGAGTTGGAATTGGGGATGGGCCAGGCTCAGACAGGTACAGAATCTACCGGCAAAGGTCGAAGAGAGGCAGGCCGTGCCAGAATGGGCCACAGCACCCAACGAGTACATGTGAGATCCAAGGGTTTAGGGGGTAAAGCTGATAGGGGGAATATGGAGGGCTACCCTCTTGTACCACCGTTGCCACTGGAAAGTGTGAGTTGTAATGGGGGCAGACCAGGCCGGGCAGGGATGCAACACTTGTCAGCCTCATGTGGGCTGGATCAGGGGAAAGTCAGGCTGGGTTGACTGTTCCTACTGGTGCATGCATAAGTCAGAGTGAGTGTGGGTTGGTTGATCTTTGCTGCAGCATCAGCTGGCAGATGCTGGCATGGGGGAAAATTCTGTCAAACTGCAGAATCACCGGGAAAGTGCAAAATCCAGTAAGGAACCAGTGGACTCCTCCCTTTTGGTTGCCACTCTGACTGGTGAGCATGATAACCAGGAATGGGGCAAGCATGACTAGACAGAGTGGTACTTGCCGGCATGTGTGTGGGCTGGATAGTGGGGCTAGTTGGGTTGAACTAGGCTTCAGTGCTCATTGATATGTATGAGAATGGAATGGGATGTGGGACAGACTGGGCCAGTCTGCTGTACATACTGGCAAGGATGGGAACCAGAGTAGTGGGTGGGCCTGGTGGGGGTTATTGTGTCACTTTGGTAAAGCTGCAGCTTCCAGTAGTGTACGTGAAGGCCGAGTATATGATGGGCAGGTCAGGCTGGGCTATAATATCCATTGGTCTATGTAGGAGACAGGGCTGGAGATAGAACTGATCCAGCAGTTGCAGCCACTAGCATGTGCATAAGCTAATTGAGGTGACAGAATGTGCTGGTCCCTGTATTGGCAAGCACACAAACAAGAATCAGATCTCGGATCACCTCAGATGAAGTTTATTTGGGGATTCCCCCTCAACAATTGCTGAACTCAAAACCCCAATCACAGAGAGAATTGCAGGTTCCATGGTCTGTGGAGTGCATGTGTCAGAGTTGAACCTCCTCAATGGCTTAGAGCAGTGGACAGCATATTCAGGTGCACACGGAGGATATAACAGTACATTGGAGTCTGCAGAGGACACCTGATGGAGGACAGATTAAATGGATCATCTGCCCCAGCCACATGTTGACAGTGAAGATCTGGGCAGACTCTAAGATGGACTATATCAGCCAGTGGGTTCTGGAGAGATTTCGTTGTGCTTGGAGTGGTGAGATTGGCAGTAATTCAGAACTGTTGAACTATTGAACCCCCCTGAACAGGACCCTGGGAGCATGCCCCACACTGGGGACCCTGGAGTGATGTCGGGTGGCTGCCCTCTATCCCAGGGTGCAGAGGCATTTGGGAGGCTGGGTGTGGCTTCTTTTTTTGTCTCCTCCCTTCCCGCAGATACAGGAAGGAGAAAAAGAGAATGTTGAAATGGTGATCTCACCCACCTTCCTGTAGCCCTTGGCCCTAATCACCGTAACCAACTATATAGAATTCCTCAAAAATAAAAATAATTAATAATAAAAAAATCAGTTGATTCTATTTCTGTGGGACTGTTACATGCTTCTCTAGTGGGTTCCTTTCTTTGATTTGTTGCATCTGTGTCTCCACCAGGCTTACACAGTCTTGATTACCATGGCTGTGTACTAGGCCTTGATACTGGTTAAACTGAATTCCTTCCATAATATTTCTTTAATTTTTTTCTTTTAGTTGTTTTAGTACCATTCACTTAACATACACATTTTAGAGTAATCTTGTGTGTATCCATAATAAACGTGTTAGGATTTTGTTAGAATTGTGTTAAAACTAATCTCATTTTGGGGAAGAATTAACATCTTTGTGGTTTTCTGCCAGTCTATGAACATCATATAATTCCCAGCTTATTTAGATATTGGATTTCTTTCATTAACATGTTACAGTTTCCAATGTAAACCAAATTTTGTTAGCTCTAAATTTGTGGTTCATTTTTTTTTTGACTAATCGCAGATGGTGTTATATTTTAAATTTCTGTTTATACATGTTTGATACTAATGTATGCGATGGAATTGACATTTCTGTGTTAATCTTTTTCTCTGTGATGACTCTGAACTCACTTATCGAGTCTAAGTCTTTTTTTGTGTGTGAATTTGCTTGCTTTGTGTTTGGTAGGTTTCTTGAGGTTTCTTAAATAGAAAATCATGCCATTTGCAAGTAGAAACGATTTGGGTTCTTTCTTTTATTTTACTTTTCTGCTGTATTTTGATTAGCCTGTGTAGTACCATGCTTAATAGTGGCAATCAGGTGAACTATCATTGTTCTTGATCTTAACAGGGAAAAATTCAAATCTTTCATCATTAGATATAATGTTAATTGTAGGTTTTACTTTTTTAGCAATTCAATTTTTGCTTTTATCAATTTTATTCTGAGTTTTCTGAGAATGAATGTTGAATTTTATCAAGTTCTTTTTCAGAATTGATTGGTAGAATTATGTGATTTTAATCCTCAGGGAATTAATACAATGGGATCCATTGATTTTTGGGTATTTAACCAGCCTTTCTTCCCTAGAATAAGCAGTACTAGATCTTAATGTTAAGGTCTACTTGCTAATGTTTTGCTAAGAATTAATGATTAATTGCCATATAATTCTCTCATTCTCTTTCTCTCTCACACACACCCACACATACTCACACATGTACATACATTTCTGTGTTGTCTTTGGTTTTGATAAAGGATAATATTTGCCTATTGAAATGAGTTAGAAGATGTTCTTGTCTTTTTTTTTTTTTAGGAGAGCATATATAGTATTGATGCTAATTGTTTAAGCAGTAGAATTCTACAGTGAAGCAGTCTGGCCTGCAGGTTTGTTCTTTTGGTGTTTAAAATTATGGATCCTATTTCCTAAATAGTTGCAGTGTTGTTTAAATGCTCTTATTTCAAGTCTTTTGGGTGGGGAAGGTTTGTGATTTTGAGGAATGGATTCATTTGATCTAAGAAGTCATGTGTGTGGTATTCCCCCAATAGTCTGTTGATGTCTGCAGGCTCTGAGTGGTATCCTGTTTCATCCCTGGTAGCAACAATTTCTGTTTTTTCTCTCTCTGTTGTCAGTTTTGTTAGATTGTCAATTGCATTGATATTTTCATGATTTCATTGATTTTCCTCTGTTGTTTTTCTGATTCCAGTATCACTGATATCTGTTCTTTATTATTTCACCCCATTGCTCATTTTGGGTTAATTTTACTCTTCTTTTCCCAGTCCTCTTTGGGCACTGTTTTGTGATCTGGATGCCTCACTTCACACATAGCTTCAAGCTGATGGTCTGGAAGAGCCAGGAAGGATGACTTAAAGCCTTGCTACCCTGTATCCATGTTGGAGACCTAGCAGAAGCTCCTGGCTCGGATAGGCTCAGCGCTGGCCATGGTGGCCATTTGGGGAGTGAGGCAGTAGATGGAAGAGTTCTCTTTCTTTATCTGCCCTTCTCTCTGTAAATCTGGTTTTCAAATAAAAGTAAACAAATAGATAAATACTTTCTCTGATCCATTCCAGGGAGGAAGAAGGGAGGATCGTTTTTATTCCTGCCAGTTGGGTTGTAGGATGTGTAATGTTGTGTAGGATGTCCACATGTTGATTATGAACTCCATCGATATGTGCAGGTGGGGATCCTCAGTACTGGTTGATGGAGATGGTATTCCCAGCTCCCTGCTTTCCTTCCCTGATACCATTCAGGTAGAGGTGTTAGGGCATAGCCTGTGGCAAGGCCTGAAACTGGGGCTCCCTTTTGGGTTGTGCTGGTAAGGATAAAGGTTTCTCTCTGGTATCTGATTGGAATTGCACAGTGATAAACCGTTACTGTCTAAGGTTTACTTAGCATTTATCTAGAGAGAGCAAGCTTTTGTTGAGGCCTTTTTGGTCAGTCCTTGTTAGTGCTGCTAGGTTGTTGACTCCTTTAGCACCTGGTCTGGGACATTTTAGGCAAAAAGTAAATCCAGGGAACTGATCACCATGCTGCTTCTTTCATTTCTCGGTTCTCAAGTTCCCTAACTGGTTAGAGAAAGATCTTCCAACCACTGGCTCATACCTCAAGTGGCCGCAGCGTCCATAGCTGAGCCGATCCAAAGTCAGGAGCCCAGAGCCTCTTCTGGGTGTCATGAGACTGCAGGGTCCCAAGGCTCTGGGCCTTCCTCAACTGCTTTCCCAGGCCACAAGCAAGGAGCTGGATGGGAAGTGGGACATCCGGGACATGAACTAGTATTCTTAGGGGATTTCAACACTTGCAGGTGATTGAAACATCATGTTGGGCCCTAGTGCATTGATTCTTAAAAAGTGCAGCATGGTGGCCTACTGCCTAAAGTCCTTGTCTTGGATGCACCAGGATCCCATATGGGTGTTGGTTCTAATCCCGACAGTTCCACTTCCCATCCAGCTCCCTGCTTGTGGCCGGGGAAAGCAGTCGAGGACGGTCTGAAACCTTGGGACCCTGCACCCACGTGGGAGAGCTAGAGGAGGTTCCTGGCCCCTGGCTTCGGATTGGCGCAGCACCAGCCATTACAGTCACTTGGGGAGTGAATCATCGAATGGAGGCTCTTCCTCTCTGTATCTCTGACTTTGCAATAAAAATAAATAAATCTTTTTTAAAAATAGTGCAGTCAGAATTATGCCTATCTGTGTGACACTGCAAGGTTGTAGTCTCTTCTCTTCATTGTAAAAGGGTCTGTCTTTCTATGTCAGTTGGATTTATAACCATTTCAAACATTAAAGTTTATTTTTATTTTACTTGTTTGACAAGAAGAATGAGAGAGAGAATTAGAGAGGAAAGAGAAAGAGAGAGAGAGAGAATGAATCCCTCAACTATCAGTTCAATCCCCACAGTCTCAAAACACCTAGGGTTGGGTTAATCCAAAGTTAGGAGCATAGAATTTAAT